TGTGAGAAGTATGTTTGTTTTTTTTTTTCATTTGAGTGCTCCGAATATTATACTCAGAATAAAGTGAGATGATCTGCTGCTGATCCTGAATGGCTTGTTTAATGAGTGTTTATAGTCTGAGAATCATCAATATTATCAGCTGCTGAAAATCCTCTTTATTTCATGTCAATAGATCCGGTTTTCACCTCATTCATTATGCTGATGACCTCAGATCTGTTAATTGCCACTTTAAGCTAATTTTATTGCTGTCAACAGACTTAAGCAAACAACACAATCAGCTATTGTGACAAGATGTAAATATCATGTAATGGGATTTTTTAATATGGTTAATTCTTTAATACATTTTAGGTAAATAAATTATGAGAATAAAAGGGTGTTAGCGTGTGACAGGAGAGCATTCTGAGAGATGAGACTATAAAAGACATCTAGACTGTTAGGTGACTAAAACGGTTTGACCTTTTCTTGCAAGAAAATAAACCATCTTTAAAGACAGTTGGACATGTTTGTCTCTTATTCAGTGATATAATTTTTATTTGTCAACATTTATAACAGCATTTATTTCATGAATCTGTGATAAACCATGTTTCATATAAAAGACAAAACCAAAAATGAACAAAAACATGTTAGGTTAAACTTAATTGTGGGTTATTTGTTTAGTGCAAATTTGTGAGTTACTTTTTTTAATTACTTTTTTGTTTATTCTTTATTTTATTTTTTATTCTTACATTGCTTATATTTGATATCTTGTGGATGTACTCCTTAATTTTTGCTTTAATTCATTGTCTGAATATTAATGAGTGTCAGACTTTTGGACCTGTTTTGTCGCAGTAGTCCTTCCTGGGTTTCCTTATTTGGTCATGTTCCTGTCCTCGTTTAGTTTGATTATGTTCCATTGATGTCACCTGTGTTCCCCTGGTCATTAAAGACTGTGAATGCTACTCTGTGTCTCCTACGTTCTTACCGCAGCAGCGTAACGTGACAGAAGACCTGACCAAAACCGTTACCTCCATGTCTACTCTCCGTTTTTGTACAGTGTTTTTTGTCTCCGTAGTTCTCCTCATGGATCCCTTCACCCGCCCGGAATTCCTCCTCCTTTTCCTGCTGGAGCAGGGGGACAGATCTCTCGAGGACCATACAAGACTGTTCGTGATGTTAGCTAACACCACCTGCTACCCGGACGATGCGTTCTGCTCATTCTATGACGCGAGCTTGAAAACCGCGAGCAGAGTGCCGTCGTCTAAGGATGGTCCTCAAGAGGATTTCGTCGCCTTCGTGGAGTGGACTCTGGCGAGAAACGGATCGCCATCCACCAGCTGCCCTGTGGATGATCTCGTCAGATCCACTCCAGACCCAGTGCCCAGCCCACCATCTCCCCGCGGTGCGGAGCATTAGCCCGAGCCCACCGATGACAGAGAGCCAATTCCCACCGTGATTGACGAACCAGTGCAAAGCAGAGCGACTGAGCGTGGCGTGGAGCTCAACCCGTCAGACCAGGTGCGAGAGCCGGCCCCCCTGGCTCGTTGACAATGCCCGCCATTCGCCAAGGGAGAAAGCTGCGGACGGTGTGAGCGTGAAGAGGAGCTCCGCCCCCTGCACCGCGGCTGAGGGGAGTATGGCATGGCGAATGTGCCACACTGAAGAGGAGAGGGCTCCAGTCCAGAACGCCCTCCAGTGCCCACTCCTCGAAAGCGCCCTCAAGTGTCCGCTCCTCCAGAGTGCCATCCTGTTCCCGTGTTCAGCCTAGAGGGGGCTCCCGATCCAGAGTTTAGCCCTGAATGCCCGGAGGTAGCCACGGCTGGAGAATCCCTCACCACCAGGCTCCCTCGTCCCTCTGGCTCCGCCTTGGTCGGGCATCAACTCTGCTCCTCCGGCTGCACCTCGTCGCTCTGTTCGGCTACTTCCTCCCGTCAGCTCTACTTTGGTCCTCAGTCACTCCAGCTCCGCCGCGGATCTCCGCCTCGGTCGCCAGAGCCCTCGGTTCCACCCTGGCCCCCGGATCCTCAGCACCCCCCTGGCTCGTTGGCTCTCCGCCTCGGGCTCCTCCGCCGCTGTTGGTCGGCCCCCTGGAGTCGGCGGCCATGGCACCTCCCTCCGTCGGCTCCACCATGGGTCGCCATCATGGCTGTGGCCTGCTTGGCTCCTACTGCTCCGGATCCCTCCTGTTTCCTCCCTCCTTCGTCGCCTCCCTGGTCTCGGTCTGCCGGCCCCCTCCCGGGTGTCCATTCTCCTCCTGAGCCTCCTCCTAAGCTCCCATCTATGCCTCCCTCTGTTGTTGTTACGGTGCGAGGACGCACCTTCCAGGAGGGGGCGAAATCAGACTTTTGGACCCGTTTTGTCCCCGTAGTCCTTCCTGTGTTTCCTTATTTGGTCATGTTCCTGTCCTTGCTTAGTTTGAATATGTTCCATTGACGTCACCTGTGTTCCCGATTGCCCTGTGTTTAAAAGTCCTAGTCTGTTTAGTTTGTGTTTTTCAGGTCTACTCGTTCTCTACGTGTGTTGGCTCAAGCTCCTATTGTGGATTATCTTCCGTTTTCGTCATTAAAGACTGTGAATGCTACTCCGTGTCTCCTACGTTCTTACCACAGCAGCGTAACGTTACAATGAGAGGTAAGATAAATTGTAGTGATAAAATATGTGGATGAAACCGTAGATAGAATTTGTGAATTACTATAAAATAAAATGCAATTCATTTAGTTATTAAAAAAGTGACTTGACTTGATAAATATAGGTAGGTGAACATCAATAGTTCAAATGTGTAAATTAGTATAAAAACAAACTCAACAAACAACTATTTTTTTTACTTTGGCAGATCTGCTCCTCCTTCAGTGAAGCTCCTCCCACAACAACCACACCTTCAGTGAAGCTCCTCCCACTGCAGATCAGCAATAAATGCTGGAATATTCCCATCAGCCTACAAGTGAAGATGAGCATCAAAGCATCAGGAAGAAGTTAAATCAGCAGAGACAGAGTTTATTGAAGGACAGTGAGAACATGAGAGATCCAGAACCCTGCAGAATGAAAAACAGGGCTGCGTTTCCCAAAAGCTTCGTAAGCCTAAGAAGTTCGTAAAAATGATTGTACGACTAATCTTAATATTACGGTCTGTTTCCCAAATGCATCGTAACTTAAGTAGCACCTGAAAATCATTGTAGATCTACGAGTGCTCTGGAGTAATTGTAAAGCCCTAAGTGCATCGTAAGAAGACAGATTTATGTGGTCACCTGCAGGACAATCGGCAGATTGCACCTTTAGCTTTATTCAAGTGCAATGTGATTATAATATTAAGTTTTGATTGTAATTTATTGTACACTTTATTACTCGTTTTTTTATGAATTTAGAAATGAAATAATTAAAAAGGGCAGAAAAATAGAAATACACATCTAAATTGAATGACTGAACAAAAAAAAAATGAATGAAAGAAGTAATGTGGGAAATATGCTTCAAAGACTGGGAGGAAAAAATCTGTCAATGACTTGCTGACGTGCACGGAAACCAATGTATTGGACCCGGAAATAACATCTCTACATAGATATTATATACTATAATATATATTTTTGTATAAAGTATATTGTATATTATTATGTAAAGTATAATATTATACATACAAATATAATTTAATATAATTGTTATTATATCCGAGTTGTCTGGAACGCAGCATTAGGTTAACATTTCAATAAACGAGCGTGTACTACAATTACTAGCCATTCTATAAGGTGACATTTCAACACTTGACAAACGGATAGCGACTCAGTAGCACTTAAAGGAATAGTTCACCCAAAAATGAAAATTTGATGTTTATCTGCTTACCCCCAGGGCATCCAAGATGTAGGTGACTTTGTTTCTTCAGTAGAACACAAACGAAGATTTTTAACTCAAAACGTTGCAGTATGTCAGTCATATAATGGAGGTGAATGGGAATCACAGCTTTGAGAGTCAAAAAAACATACACCAATAAAACCAAATTAAACCCTGCGGCTCGTGGCGATACATTGATGTGTAAAGACACGAAACGTATTTATATCGTTTTTTACCTCTGATTAACCGCAATGTCCGAACTGTCCTGAGCACGTTCTCGTCTTCTTCAGCCGGCTCATGACACGTCATCTTCTTCTTGCTTTATGGCGGATTGCAGATTTATAAGTGCATTACTGCCACCTATCTCTCAAATGGACCATTGACGCTCCTAATTGAGGTTGTAGATAGTGTCAATGGTCCATTTGAGATAGGTGGCAGTAATGCACTTATAAGTCTGCAATCCGCCGTAAAACAAGACGATGACGACGCGTCATGCGCCGGCTTTAGAAGAAGACGTTTTGTGTCTTTACACATCAATGTATCGTCACATTGATGATCATGATCGAGCCGCAGGGTTTAATTTGGTTTTATTTGTGTATGTTATTTTAACTCTCAAAGCTGTGATTCCCATTCACTTCCATTATCAAACTGACAGACTGCAACGGTTTGAGTTAAAAATCTTCGTTTGTGTTCTACTGAAGAAACAAAGTCACCTACATCTTGGATGCCCTGGGGGTAAGCAGATAAACATCAAATTTTCATTTTTGGGTGAACTATGCCTTTAAAGCACGGCTACGTGCGATTGCGTTAAGTGCATTTTTGGGAAACGCACGTGAAACAATAACGAACAATCGTAAAATGACTAGTAGAAAACGCTCTTAAGCTCTAAGATCAATCGTTATCGAGAAACGCAGCCCAGGTAGGTGTTTATTCTTGATCTTTCATCAATGAGGCTGAAGAACCATTTAGTTATAAATCTTCAAGCAGTTCAGCAATATTTAATATTGAAAGACATAAGAGCTGTTAACTGGTTAAATGAATAAATAACAAGGTATAAATAACAATGGCAAAATCAGCTTTCCTTTTTTCTTGTTGTCAACAAAGTTATTATAATATGAACTGATTTATTTTGCATTAATTTGAAATGAATTTCACAATGTTAGCAACCCTCTAATCAGACCTTTAGCTTTTAACTTTAGCTTCCGTAAACTTTTTTTTTTTTAGAGAATTCATAATTTTTCTTGCAAGTTGTTTGTGTAAAAACTTTTCTTACTGGGTCATTGGATGGATTAGAAATATCCTACTTCTGAAGTTATAATTATGAGTTGCTTTGTTGTTGAAAAGGAATGAATTAATGCATATTTGTGCACCTGTATTGTAAAGTGTTACCCAAAAGGACATTAAACTGTTGTGAAATGATGAACAAGTTTAGGTATAAGTCTGCGGAACTCTGAAAATATTTGTTTTTGAAATATTCTGTTAAACCTGCTGAAACTAACCTGCGTGAACTAAAATGCTCAGTTCCACATGCATGTCCGGGAAACGCATGAATATTCATGTATGCTGTGCCCACTGAAACCGAAAATCTCAGAACTCTGGAAATCAGTTTTTCCCACTGCACTGCATCCTGCGCGGTCATTGGCCCATCTCAGGATCAAAACTGAACACCACTGGCCACATTAACAACCAATAATGAACACTACTTTCATAAATCCCTTCTTTTAATTTTTTTCAGTCGTCTCTACAATATTATATTAATATAACAATCATATTATTTTTCCGGTGACTCTCTGGTAACTTGGCTACATACTTCATTAATCTGCTAGCTGGTTATTAATGGTGGCATCCTGCCAGTCAGTCAATAAATCTAAGTTTCTCTTGAAAGTATTACAGGCTCTTCTTCAGCTTCCTGAACAAAAGTTTGTACCAAAAAAACAAACAAAAAGAACTACTTTCCTTCATAAAAGAGCAAACAAACTAGAAGTGATACATTTGCAGTATAGAAAATGGCACATTATATAAAACTCATAAGAGCACACAATAATATATTTACATATCACGAAGTTAAAATGATATAAAAAATAAAAAACAATTAGATATTGTTCTTTGGATATGAAACTTCATTTTTGAGTTGATCAGAATCTCAGATGAAGCTGATGAAGATCTTGAAGATGAACTTCATTAACTGTGAAAACAACAGATGATGTTTATTTTCCGTCAATTGTTATGCTGATTAGAATGGATTTATACAGAAGCAAATGTATAGGTCAACACATTATTGTGTCATGTTTGGTGAGGATGTGGTGTCAGACCTGACAATGCTGGATCTGAAGAGAATCTATTTACTGTGAATCTTTTTTGTATGCTTTTGTAAAGAAATTGATCGAGCGAAACTCTTCCCACATGCAGTGCAGTGATATGGTTTCTCTCCCGTATGAACTCTCGTGTGAACCTTAAGTTGATCTTTATGTCTGAAACTCTTCCCACACTGATCACACGTGTAAGGTTTCTCTCCAGTGTGGATCTTCTCATGTCTTTTCAGGGTTTCTGATTGATTGAATCTCTTGTCACAGTGTGAACACATGTAAGGTTTCTCTCCAGTGTGGATCTTCTCATGTCTTTTCAGGGATTCTGATTGATTGCATCTCTTGTCACAGTGTGAACACATGTAAGGTTTCTCTCCAGTGTGGATCCTCTCATGCTGTTTCAGTTCTGTAGATGTAATAAAAGTCTTCTCACACTCAAAGCACATATATTCTCTCACACCCGCGTGTCTCTTCTGATGTTGTTTTAAATTCTGCAGATGTGAAAAACTCTTTCCACACAACGAACATGAATGTGGTTTCTCCTTTAGATGAGCATTCAGGTGACTCTTCAGGCCTGAATCCCACAAAAATGTTTTGCCGCATTGATCACATTCATACAGTTTCTCTCCAGTGTGGATCCTCATGTGTCTCTTCAGCTTTGCTGATTGTGCAAAACTCTTCCCGCACTGATCACATGTGAACGGTTTCTCTCCTGTGTGAACTCTCATGTGCACCTTAAGTTGAGTTTTTTGTCTGAAACTCATACCACACTGATTACACGTGTAAGGTTTGTCTCCAGTGTGAATCCTCTCATGTGTTTTCAGGGATTCTGAATGAATGAATCTCTTGTCGCAGTGTGAACACTTGTAAGGTTTCTCTCCAGTGTGGATCCTCTGGTGCCGTTTCAAATGTGTAGCTGTAATAAAAGTCTTCTCACACTCAAAGCACATATAATCTCTCACACCAGTGTGTATTTTCTGATGAGCTTTTAAATTATGCAGTAGTGAAAAACTCTTTCCACACAAAGAACATGAATGTGGTTTCTCCTTTGAATGAACTATCAGGTGACTCTTCAGGGTTGAAGCCCACAAAAATGTTTTTCCACACTGATCACATGTGAACAATTTCTCTCCCGCATGAACTCTCATGTGAATCTCGAGACTCTGTTTGTTTGTCAAACTCTTTCCACACTGAGTGCAGGTGAAAGATTTCTCGTCTCTTATTTTCTTTAAATCTTTCTGTTTGGTTTGAGAGCGACTCAAATGTTGTTCTCCAGTTTTGACATGATGTTTCTCCTCCTCTTCACACAGTTCTTCATCCTCCTCATTTTCTTCAGTCAACTCTGAAATTAAAGTAAAATGTTTAATGTTCAGTAAATCACAGAGACTTTCCATGAATGAGGTACATTGATCTTCCTCTTATGTTTAAAACATTATAGGAACAAATCCCATGTTTCTATAATGAGAAGTATTAAGTATATGAAATCAACTCCACAAGTTTATAGAAAGTGCTCTTATTATTTACTGCTCCAACTATATTATTGCACAGATCTATATATTTTTTCTATTACAACAAATCAAAATCTGACAAACTACTTGAAGCTTTATAACCTTAAAGTCCCCCTGTAGTAAAAATCAAGTTTTTTATGCTGTTTATTTGTCTATGTGGTGTTTTTAATGTGCTTTTAGACAAACCATGTGCCTATCCATTTATCAACACCATTGCTGAGTATTTTCTCCTTAGAAAGGTAGTTTCCCCAAAGGCAGTCACAGAAACGCAGTTTGAAACAGCCCTTTTTTTGCTACGTCACAAAATTCAATAACCAATCACGTCAAGGGATCCTATCCTCAGCATATCATAAACTGCTGCAAAGCAGAGGGTCTAGTGAGAAGGCAGCCAGGTTAATCCGGTAACGGTTATATTTTTCTGTAGATGTTTGGCTAACTGTTAATATTCCCCCCCATTTTCACGATGTCATGTGCTGTTACCGCTATTTATTTGTATTTAGAACCGCTAACTTGAATAATAACCCGCGGCAGCAGTGTAAAAATAGCCCGGAGTCATACGCACCTCTCCCGCGTTGACATCCGCAGGTCACACGCATTTGCTCGCGGGCGTGGATTAGAATCACAAACTCGGCTGCATTTGAGTCTTTAAGGCATTTTGAGGACACAACATCGTCAAGTAAGTAAATTTAACAAATGTTACAGTATCCACTGTAGTTGTCCGCAAGTAAAAACTTAGTTCTATCAGTCATTATCCGTGGAGTGGAGGCGGGGCTACTTTGCATATTCATAGATCCGCGTATAGTAAATGAGGCAAGGGTGTAGAGTTACATTCAAGCTATTTTAAGGCATGAGAAAATTATTTATGGCTGTTTAAATCATTTAAACATGATTCAGAAACCGAAAGTAGTGCATCTGCTTTATTTACAGGGTTTACGGGGTAACGGCTGCATTTAAATGAATTTTTTTATTTTTTATTATTATTATTATTATTATTATTTCTGCAGTTTAGCGCCAT